TTCTCTACAGGTCAATTGTGGGTGCTCTTCAGTATGCCACCATCACTCGCCCTGAAATTAGTTATGCTGTCAATAAGGTTTGCCAATTTATGGGACAGCCTTTGGATGCCCACTGGAAAATTGTGAAGAGAATTTTAAGATACTTAAAAGGGACTCTTACCTTCGGCCTTGTTCTTCAAAAGGCAAATCTCCAGCTTCCCTTTACTCTCACTGCTTACTGTGATGCAGATTGGGCAAGTGACCCTGATGACAGGCGTTCCACTTCAGGTGCAGCCCTCTTCTTGGGTCCTAATCTTGTCTCTTGGTGGTCCAAGAAGCAAACTCTTATAGCAAGGTCCACAACTGAAGCTGAATATAGAAGTTTAGCACTTACTTGTGCTGAAATCTTGTGGATTAAGTCTCTTCTTTGTGAATTACAAGTCTCCTTTGATACTCCCCATGTCTTCTGTGATAACCTTAGTACAGTGGCTCTCTCCCATAATCCTGTTCTGCATGCCCGCACAAAGCACATGGAACTGGATATCTTTTTTGTTCGAGAGAAAGTGCTTGCACATGAGATTATTGTCCATCATATTCCTGCCTCACATCAGCTGGCAGATACTTTGACAAAGCCTCTTCCTTCTGGACATTTTACAAATCTAAGAGCCAAACTCAGAGTTCTTGATTCAGTGACTCAAGATCCCTGAGTTTGCGGGGGTGTATTAGATATATAGTTGTAGCTTCTTTAAATGTACCTGCATGTATCAGATACTTTCCTATACAGTTTGTTACAGATCTATTAGGTGTTAGCTGTCAATTAGTTAGATCATCACTCTATATATATATATTGATAGAGTGCACACTGTAGATTCAGATTACATAATACAATTCATACATTCTCTCTCTCTCTTTCTCTCATCTATGGATTCTCTCAAGAACTCAAACATTCCAGACTTTTCTTTTTCAATTTAGGAGGAATGGATGTTGTTTTGGGGTATGTGTGGTTAGAGAGTTTAGGAGACATTCAAGTGAATTTTTGGGAATTGGTGTTATGCATACCAACAGATGGGGACATGGTGGAAATTAGGGGTAATCCCAAGCGGTTGGGTAAGGCATGGAAAAATAGAACAGAAGGATATTATATTGAATTGGGGTATTTGACAGCTGAGTTAACAGAAGCTGCATCATCGTTAACTGTTTCAAAAGTGCTACAAAAATTTCCAGGACTGTTACAAATTCCAACAAGCTTGCCTACGAGTAGAAAATGTGACAATCGAATTTTGTTGAAAGAAGGAGCAAATATACCCAATGACAGATCTTATACCTCAAGCACAACGAGATCTGTATGCATCAAGCAATGGGACCCCGGTGGAAGTTCTATCACACCACCTATCCTCTTTCTTCACCTTGAGAACAAGGTGAGTTTTAGAAGGGAAGTATTGATGGGCCTTAAAATTAATATCCAAGCCCATTAGTTAAGATTAGTATATATAGATATTTTGGGTGAGGTTTTCTTTATGCATGAATTCAGTATTAGCTTATGGAGAAATTGGGAATCTCTGGGAGTTGAGATTTCTGGGTTTATTTTCTACACTTTATCCTTGTAAGGAGCTTGTCTCCATTTATATTTTTGCAATTTCATATTAATAAAAGTAGGTTCTATCACACATATACCAAATAATAACCGTAATTTGACATAAGATAATACACAATTATCATGTCATTTATAACATCAAAATCATTGAAATAAAATCATACAATTTGTAATTAAATCAACTCAAAGATTTGACAACTTTGGTGGTCAACAAATGTTTCATACTTTAATTCCAAAATTCAAACATTTTGCAAACAATTACAAGATTTAGGATTTCACATTTAATCTCAATCCTATCATCACAACAAAGTGTATTAAAAGGCAAGAATTATCACTTGCCTAAATCATAAAATCACAATAAACATAGAGGCATTATACATATGAACACATCATATGCTCAAAATGCCACTGATTAAATAATTGCACAATAAATCAATCATACAAATAGAATATAAATATAGGTCAATTACCATTAAGAAGCAAACGTTATTCAACATTGCTTCAACCACAATTACACAAGTAATGGTTTATAATAACCAATAACATTCAATTCAAATATATGACCTTTTTATATATATTAAAATTTAAATGACAGCCATTCAGTGCCTGCACAATCATCATTCTTTCCAAATATTTCAATGTTATGCCCAGAATGATTCAATTCTTTTCGATCCATCAAATGCTAAACTATAGAAAGAAACCGACATTGGCTTCAGTATTAAGATCTTTCAATGAATTGATCAATCAAACACAAAACCCCTGTTTGTAAACACAGTCCACCAATTCAAAAGCATGCATTAAAAGCCTAAGGCTTTTATATAATCTATATGTTATCGTTTCATAGAGAAGACATCAAACATAAGCAATGTAATTTGCAAACCGTACGCAGCAAAGGCCACGAGATTATATTTTTCCCATACATAGAGTGAAATTTGCATCCAATGACTCCAAAAAGAAGCAATTGATCACCCATGGCATTTCAATATAGGAAAATGGAAAACACATATAGACAATAAACTGCACACATCATGTTGCGTTGCCCACTAAGCATGCATTTAATATAGATCAAAATAATACAAACTATTTATGGCATTCATCTTTTTGTTTGCTTATTACAACACTCATTAAAACCAAATGCCATTAAATTCAAAATTTTGAAAACCGTGAATTCAGAATTCAAGTAAAAGGTAATTGTAATACAAATCAACGACCATAGGTTCAAACAGTGTCTCCATTATGACATAAAACCCATTCAGTTTCATTTTAGCGCAAAAATCATCCCATGTAGGCATGTATACAACTGAAAAGAGGCATTAAATCATTAAAAGCAATCACTGTAGTAATTCCAAAACCAGAAGACACCTTTCGTCTAATTCAACTTGAGTGCCTTGGTACAAAAAAATTTAACTGGTCAATTGAAGAAAAATTTAACCGGCCCATATATTTTTCTATTTTTTTTCAAATTTTTTAAAACAGCAAAACGGCTCTTTCTATGACAAACATCAAGGGAGTTAGTTCCATTGAAAAACATCAAACTGTAATTTCCTTTTTCTTCAACAAAAATAGCCAACCCGATTCTTAATCATGGAATTAATCATTATTCTATCACCCAAAGGATAACGATGTGAATGCATACGTGGAGGTTTCTCACGGGTACATATAATTTCAAAACATAGATTAACTAAGAAAATTGCCTTAAGGGGGTGTTTGGTAGAGGGATCTTTTTGAGATTCCCAAAAACTGATATTGGGATTCTTATTTATCCACATTTAGTAGAGGGATTAAGAAAATTTTGAAAACCCAGAAGGATTTCACAAACCCATTTCCCAGACCGTGGAATTGAACTCTCGATCCGAAAATTCTACTAAAATTAGAATGTTCAGCACTTCAAAAATTGGCAAAAACCCATAAATGAAAACCCAAATTGGGTTCCAATTCCAAACCACGAAGGAATAGGGCAATGGATTGAGAATCTAGCAAAAAGACAGAAACTTGATCAAGAAATCAAACGAGGTAATGAGAGAAGAGAGGAAATGCGAAGAGTGAGGAACAAAGCTATGTAGAAAATTGCTCCATAAATTGTGCTTCAAGAAAAGATTGGAAATAGGGGTTATTTATGTAAAATGACCTTACATTCCCAATAATATTTGACAATCAACCAAACATAGATTCAGTAAACTTGAGTCAACATTCATGGTAATATTTTGACCTACCAAACAACATTTTGGTCACATTCACGGGAAATTCACTTTCTCACCATATTCCAGGGAATTATGATTCCCGAGGCATAAAAAAATCTATCCTCTACCAAACCCCCCCTAAGATTGTTATTGGTGGTAGTGCAAATATGTGTAGTGTGGAATAACAGGGAAAAACACAGACAAATATAGAACATAATGCAATCGCAGGAAACTAAGCAATATGCAAAGTGAAAAAATTGCAAGAAATTAAATCTGATCCCAATACTATATACTGTGTCCTTAAGACAATTTTGCCACCTCAACGGTGCCGAAGGTTTGTAGACAAATACCTCCTAGGACAAAACGAATTACCTTTGTTTCCACGGTGGCACAACCAAAAGAAACAACACCAACGGATACAAGGAACGCTTGATCAATAACAGATAGAGGCGAAAAATGAGAAATAATTTTGGCAAAGTGTCGATATGGAGTCAAGAAAAATAAGTTCTTTGAATTTATTGAATATTAGATATATAAGAGATGAACAGTCACTAGAGACATATCGAAGAGACACGACTATTCGGAAACGAAGAGACGCAATTGTTCAGATACGAAGAGGCGCAACTATTTGTTCCAACAACTTATTCATAACCACTTATCCAACAAGTTTTAACTCGCTCATTATCAACAATTCAACATTATCATTTAATTACTATCTCATCACATAACTGCTAGCTAAAGTGCACAGATATCTGGTTTATGTACCACGCAAAGGACATTTCTCAATTATTATGTCAAGAAAAGCAAGAGTAAACACATGCAAGAATTTAATACTCATTAAAGAAGCAATTGTGTCTAAGTTGGAGAGATGCCAGAACTTTTAGAATAACTCTATGTTTTTCCCACTTCTATGGTATATAATTTTCTTATTCCATTCTTACTCAAGCACAGCTATTTGATTTTATTGAGGTTTTCCTTTTAGTTTGCAGAAGGATTAGCAATCTTTACTATGTTACTAAGTTAAGGATCCCCAGTATCATATTTTTCCACCAAAATTCAATAAAGTAGTACCAAGCTGGAAATTTATTAAACCCAAAGGAAAACGTCTAATAAGTAAGAATAATGATAAAAATAAACAAACCTCAAAATTTAAAGCTAAAATATTTAAAACATATTCTTCTGCAGACTACGAATGATATATTCATATGATATTGTTTATGTGCTTGCAAATCAAAAGCAAATCTTACATATCCTGGTCACGCTCATTGGCAAGGGCAGTCTTGGCAATACATAGGAATGCAGCATCAACATTGTAGTCCTCTTTTGCCGATGTCTCAAAGTAGGGAATATTCCCTTTTGAAGTACACCAATCCTTTGCTTTCTTCTCAGAAACCTGCATAGAAGATATTTAGACCTTTATGCAGGAAAAAAGGAAATTTATAAGTGCAATATCATCTGCATACCACTCGACTGTTCCCACCATCAATATCAATCTTGTTTCCTAGCAATATAAAAGGAAATGTCCTTGGATCAGAAGGGTTTGCCTGCGCCACAAAACATAAAAATCTAATCAAAGCCTATCTTCACTGGGGAAAAAAAAGGGAAATTTATAGTGAAAGTGAAAGCTGTGGAATATCTGGAAATGGATCCTCTCGTGTTATTTGACATAACCATGTCACGTGAGAGGATCTCAACCATCAATCAACAAATCAATAGTGAAGATTTTGTAACTTCCTATCCCAATATTTGTTCTCTCGCTTCCCTTATCACCATTAATCCACCCTTGAATGGTTAGGATCCTCACACATGACATAGTCATGTTAAATAACACATGAGAGGATATACTCCTGCAATATTTTGAGAAGGAAAAAAGGTGTCCAAAAAGATGTCAAAGAATCAAAAGAAGTTAAGAGAGATAATTTAAGCAGCATTTCCAGGTGTCAAACTAGCCATCAGAACAAGCAAACATAAAACAACGATTCCAGCAAATTATGCACCCTCACTGAACAAACCATAATAAATTTACCAGTTCAACCAATTTAAATATCTGGAAGACTCAAATCCCTTCAAATAGAAAATTATTACAGTCCAATTACATAAACAAATTTTGGCTTGTGGTTGGAATCCTTCTACTGTTCATTTCTTCTTCTTATTCATTACTTTATCTTATTTTGGTTTTGGACAGCTTCACTTGAGTGAATTTCAGTGGCATCCCATAAAGAGTGAGCTAACTATTATTAGTTAGTGTTATATGCAAACAAATATGAGGGATAACTTTCTGGGAGCATTTACTCTTTTTGATCTGCAATGGGAGGATCTTCTAATGCAGTACTGAAATGGATAAAATATTAAAAAAAAAAAAAGTAGTACGGTCCTTAGTTACTGGAAACTTCGGCTAGAATATGCCAATTCTAAATTCTCAATGAGACACATCCCCAGTATATGTTAAAACTTAAAAATTTCTTTGCAAAGACTATTGTCAGTACCTCTTCCCAATGGAGACCACTTGAGTTGCATGAGATATTTTATATTTGGATTGTAGAAGGAAGCTATAACTATAATCAATTTTACCCTGCAGGCTGTTCAACATTTTGAATCCATCCAGGGAACATAGTTCTCAACCTTTAGGCTTTTCTAATATATCATCACTTAGACATGATTTTTTCTTCATGTATAAAAATAATTCATCGAGGGAATAAGAAATTTAAAAAACGAATTTTTTTGACAAAAGCAAAGAGAAAAAAGAAAGAAAAATAAACAGTCCCCATCTTTTAAAGAGTCAACTTAAAATGGGCAACAAATCTATCAAAAAGTACCCACAAATGAAACTCCCATAAAATATTGACAGAATCAACCAATATCAGACAAGAGAAAATAAAAGGGAACTGAAAATGTATCTGATATATTGCTTCTGTATTCTGGAATTACAGACACCAAAACCAGGGACAAAGGAAATTACAAATAGAAAGAGTAAATCTGTGATAGAAAATGGAAAATAACCAAACAACTTCTAGAGCAATTCAAGGAGCTCTGTGGCTCTCCCAATATCAGCCTATGTTGAGATATATAGTCCCACATTGGTTGTATGTGCAACTAATGTGAAGTTTATAAGGCCTTGGGCACTCCCACCCTTTGAGCTAGCTTTTAGGGTGGTGTATCCCAAGGTTCTTTACATGGTATCAGAGCCTCGGTGTACTGGGTTCGATCCTCACCGCCCCCCACTTTCTTTCTAGTGGAATTTCTTTCTTCGCACAGGTAGTTGGGCCTGTGCATTGTCCACCCTTCAAGTCCAATGGGCTCTCGTGTGAGGGGGCGTGTTGAGATATGTAGTCTCACATTGGTTGTATGTGCAACTAAAGTGGAGTTTATAAGGCCTTGGACACTCCCACCCTTTGAGCTAGCTTTTGGGGTGGTGTATCCCAAGGTTCTTAACAAGTTCTTTATATGGTATCAGAGCCTCGCCGCCCCCCACTTTCTCTTGTGGCGTTTCTTAGCACAGGTAGGCTGAGCCTGTTGCATCATCCACTCTTCAAGCTCAATGGGCTCTCGTGTGAGGGGGCGTGTTGAGATATATAGTCCCACATTGGTTATATGTGCAACTAATGTGAAGTTTATAAGGCCTTGGGAACTCCCACCCTTTGAGCTAGCTTTTGGGGAGGTGTATCCCAAGGTTCCTTAACATGGTATCAGAGCCTCGCCGCCCCCATTTTCTCTTGTGGCGTTTCTTAGCACAGGTAGGCTGAGCCTGTTGCATTGTCCACTCTTCAAGCCCAATGGGCTCTTGTGTGAGGAGGCGTGTTGAGATATATAGTCCCACATTAGTTGTATGTGCAACTAATGTGGAGTTTATAAGGCCTTGAGCACTCCCACCCTTTGAGCTAGCTTTTAGGGTGGTGTATCCCAAGGTTCTTTATAGCATAAATTCCACGATACCCCATCCAGAGAGCACCATTCATATTTAAAAACTTCCAATGCTTTTTCCATCTAGTTAGTTATCCACATCCAAACCAATTGCTTGCCCTTCCTCACTTGATTTAGCTGTTAGAATATTCTCCTTTAACAACCTTAATGCTAACTCAGCATGTGGGAGTGATTTCCTGTTTCTTTTCCTAGCATAAACCGTTAGCGGTCTAACAATACTCCAACCCCCCCCCCCCCCCCAAAAAAAAAAAAAACACAAAAAACAAAAAAAAACCTTCACCTTGTCCTCAAAGCAAAAATCAGGAAATTTGGTCAGCAATGAGAATAGATGATAATCGCATCCTCCAACATGTTCTAAGAAGAGGGTAAATGTTTCAACTTTAGTAGCACTTTAGTAGCAAAAGAAAAAGACTTGTGCCAATCAATTAAATCTTCAGGTTCCACTCGAAGCTCCCACTCTTCAATTAACACAGGAGGTAAGGGCTGGAAGTTTGTAGAAGGGGAAACAGCCTTCTTAAGAAGGGAAGAATGGAATACATGGTGGACCGAGGGTAGGTCCAAACCGTAAGCAGTCTCCCCAATTTTTCCCAAGACCTTAAATGGACCATAAAAGCGTGGGCTAAGCTTCTTATTGATCCTTTTAGCAAAGACTTTAAACGGTTAAGGTGACAACTTCAAGTACACCCAATCACCCTGCAAAAGAGATATCCCTACGATGGAGATCAGCTTGAACAATTTACTATTTTGGGCAGCAACCAAATTTTGATGTACGTCATTAAGAGCAGCATTTTATCCTCATTAAAATGCAGCATCACGCTCTTGCAACCAAATAGAATCCTCATCCACATTAGGAGAGAATCTGTGCTCTTTAAGTAAAGAAGGAGGATCACTCCCATATAAAGCTTTAAATGGGGTCATTCCATGGATACCTTAAATGAAGTGTTGTATCAAAACTCGGCCCAATATAGCATCTTAGGCCAAGTTTTGGGTCTTGGGCTACAATAGCATCTAAGGTATGTCACAAGGCAACGATTCACTACTTCGGTCTACCCATTGGAATCAGGGTGATAGGATGAACTATATTTCAATTGAGTGCCTGAGCATTTAAACAAGGTAGACAAAAACAAGCTCATAAAAACCTTCTCACGAACAAAAACTATTGATTTTGGGAATCTATGGAGGCGCATACTTCTTTTACAAAAACAACTCAGCCGCCTCCTTTGAATCATAAGGATGACAAAAGGAAAGAAAATGGGCATACTTTGTCAATTTGTCCATCACAACAAATATCACATCCACCCTGTGAGCTTCTGGTAAACCCCCAATTAAATCCATTGAAATTTCAGCCTAGATCTGAGTTGCAACAACGGCTGTTAAAGGCTAGCAAAAGATAGGTTATGGATCTTATGCTATTGGCAAACAACACACCCAGCCACATGCCCCTGAATATCTTTGTGCATTCCTTCCCAATAAATTATACCAGTTATTCGTTTATAACTCCTCAAATAGCAAGAATGTCCCTAAATCTAAGAATCGTGAAATTCTTTTAAAATAAGAGGTATGAACTACAAGGATTTAGGGATGACTAATCTGCTATTGTACAACAAACATCCCCCTTGGACCTAGGTTGTCAGTAGCGGCCCGTAGCGCCGCTAAACCGCTACCGTAGCGGGTAGCGGCGGTCGGCCGCTACAAACCGCGACGCTACGCGACATTCACCGTAGCGGAAGGTAGCGGCGTAGCGTAGCAGCAATACCTCTACCCGCTACACCCGCTACACCACTCCCATGTTGGAATTTGATGGAGAATCCGGAGATGATGATGATTTTCTTTATTAGTTCACTTCTTGTACTTGACTATTTGACAATTTTATTGTTCAGTTGTGTTTAATTTTGGATCCTTCCTTTATGTTCCTTGTATTTGACATTGATTGTGGAATTATGTGTTTGATTTTGTGTGACTTCTTATGTTTGAGCATTAATACTAAAAACGGTATTGCCTCGTTTCTTGACTGTTAGTATAATATATGTAGAATTAATACTTCACCGTAGCGGTAATACCGCTACCCGCTACACCGCTATACCATTTTCGGGGTCGGCCGCTACCGGCCGCTAACTGCTATTGACAACTATGCCTTGGACAAAGAAACCAAAGAGGAATCCATAGAAAGGTCATGAATAATTCCACTAAGTTGTAAATCAGAAAATACTTCATCATCTAATTCAGTCAATTGTGGCAACTCTTAACTCAGTTAAAGCAGAAAATTGCATTCTTCTAGGTAAAGCAGAAAATACTTCATCATCACCATTAATTTTTTTTCTCTTTCTTTTTTTTTTGATTTACCTTATGCTTATTTAATTCCACAAGTGGAGGCGATGAGGATCGAACGCATGACCTTTTGTGGTCAAGGTAGCTCTGATACCTCTGTCAGACGGGTCTAAGGGGAGATCGTGGCGGGGACAACCACCAAGGGGCTAAGGCTACACCAACTGTAGCAAGTGGGTCTGATACCATATCGCAACCCAAAACCTTAAGGCGTTGAATGAGGGCCTTTTTAATAGTTTACATTATTTTCTAACACATCCCCTCACGTAAGAACCCTTTGGGTTTGAAGCGTGGATATTGCATAAGCCCAATTTTTTTCTTTTTTTTTTTGGTTTACCTTATGCTTATTTAATTCCACAACTGGGGGGCAGTGAGGATCGAACTCTTGACCTTGTGATCAAGGTAGCTCTGATACCATGTAAAGAATTATTTCAACCCAAAACCTTAAGGTGTTGGGTGAGGTTACATTAATGATTTTATATATCTCTAACACGCCCTCTCAAGGTAGCTCTGATAACATTTAAAGAACCAATTCAACCCAAAAACTTAAACTGGTGGGTAAGGCTACATTAACGGTTTTTATATTATTCTCTAATAGAGTTTATCAAACCAGGCCCTTGGTGCCTGTTTTAAACCATAGAGAGCCTTGTGTAACCTGCAAACAAGAGACTTGTTAGAAGATTCAAACCCAGGAGGTTGTTGCATGTACACCTCTTCCTCTGAGATGCCATTGAGAAAGGCATTGTTGACATTTGATTGTTTTAGTTTTCAAATAGCAACAGTGAGGATGGTTTGAATGGTGATAGGCTTCACAACCGGAGAGAATGTTTTAGTGTAGTTGAAGCCAGCTTGTTGATGGAAACCTTTGGCCACTAATCTGGCCTTATATCTCCTAATGGAGGCATCTAGGTTTTCCTTAATCCGAAAGACCCACTTGCAGCCAATGGCCTTCCTATTTGGGGGAAGAGGAACCAAGGTCCAAGTAGAGTTTGCTCGTAGTGCACCGAATTCAGATTGCATGGCAGTAAACCAATTTGGATTGGCCAAAGCCTGTTTAATTGAAGTAGGTTCAAGGGAAGTCAGAAGTATGTGAGGTATGGGAGCAGTTTTGGAGCGAGTGGTGATAGAGTGAGTAGGAGAAGAATGGAAGGGACCAGAGGGTACATACTCAGAACCAGAACTGGTGCTAGAAGAAGAGATGGGACTAAGTGAAGCTGAATTAGGAGAAGATGAGGGAAGACCTGGACTTGAAGGTGACAGATCACTGATGGAATGTGAAGTACTTGCAGCATTGGAGGAAGGTGAGGGTGATACTGCTGGACTGGATGATTCTGAACAGGAAAGAGATGACCTGGAAGCTGGAAGAAGAGAGTCACACTGCTGTAGAGAAGAATCACTACTGGAATGGGGTAAACCAGCTGCATCCGAGTGAGAATTCTGAGATGATGGTGCTGAACTGGGTGAAACAGGAGGTGACCTTTGCTGACTAGAGATGATGGGATCTGAACAAAGAATTGTAGAAGGTACCAAAGGAATTAAATTGGTAATTTGCTGTGAGGTTGGACTGGCAGTGTTGGAGGAACTTGAGTTGGACCAGGAAGAGTATGGAATTTGGTCTCATTAAAGAGGACATCCTTTGAAATAAACAATCGATCAGAGGAGTTGAGACATTTATAGCCTTTGTGATTAGGAGAGTAGCCAAGAATATGCACTCATTGCTTTTAAATTCCAACCTATGATTGTTATATGGTCTCAAGAAAAGGAAACATGCACAACCAAAGACCTATAGACTTTTATAGTCAGGTGTGGTTTTAAAAAGCTTAGTGAAAGGTACTTCAAAGTTCAAGGCAACTGTGGGAAGATAGTTTATGAGATAGACAGCTGAGGTAAAGGCATGATCCCAAAACTTGATGGGCAAAGAAGCATGAGCAAGCAAGGTAAGACCAGCTTCCACAATGTGTCGATGTTTCCTCTCAACCACCCAATTTTAATGGCGAGTGTGAGGACAAGTAATTCTATGAACAATGCCCAGCTGTTTCAAAAGTTGATGAAAAGAACGAAACTCTCTTCCCCAGTCAGTTTGGAGGGCTTTTATAGAAAACTAAAAAATATTTGAGACGAGCTTGAAATTGAGAAAAAATTTATTAAAGCTTAGACTTTTGTTTTAGAGGGTAAATCCAAGTATACCTGGAGTGAGCATCTACAAAGGATATATAATATGTAAAGCCCAAGGTGGATTTAACTGGGGCAGGACCCCATAAGTCACTAAAGACCAAATCAAAAGGATTTTATAAATTTTCAAAAAAAAAAAAAAAAAGATTTTTCATAGATTTTAGTTGAGGGAGGTGAATGCAATATGTGAATTTCACCCAAACAGCATGCTGAACAAAATTCAATGTCAGTTTTATTAGGAATAGGAACATTACAGGACTTCAGAACAACATTGAGGATGTGTTGTGACATGATGAGAGGCTCCTGAGTCTGGATACCACTCTATGGCTTGAATATTTGATGGAGTTGGTAGAATTCCTTGCCCTTGTAAAGCAACATTGCATTGTTGTTGAGGAGAGTTTTGCGGTTGATTCGCAGTGAGCAGAACTTGAGGAGGATTTGTAGGAGGTCGAACATACTAGTATGGTCTTTGAAAATAGGACTGAGCAGACGGAAAATACTGAGGAGCTTCAGGTGGAGGTAGTTCAGGCATAAAATCTTCATCAAACCTGTGCCAACAGTTCTGAACTCCATGTCCAAATTTGTAGCAGAGTTGACATTGCAAGTTGTTGTGTCCACGACCTCTTCCACCTTTGTTGTTTCGGATAAAAGGCCTTCCTCTTCCTCTACCAGTACAATAGTGCCTCCGATTGGTCAGGTTCTGATCCTGATTCTGCTGAATAACACCAAAAGAAGCTCTGCTAGGCGCGAATCCATCTTTCTGATAAGTGGAAGTTGTTTGTACAACATTTACAGTCATAGATTCTGAAAGGAGAGTCTCATTTTGTCTTGCAGGCATCATTTCATGAGACAATAGTTCAACTCTCAAATCATAGAGAATAGGGATTCTCACACGCTCTAACAGAGGTGACAAACGCGTTGAACTCTGCAGGGAGTCCAGAAAGGATTATCTCAGTCTATTCTTCAACTGATACAGGGCTTTTGACAACCTTCAGTTCATCACACAACGATTTGAAACGTCTGAGATACTCAGTAATAGATCGTCCACCATCTTTTATGGTGCGAAGCTCAGATCTGAGTTGATGAGCTTTGGATTTCATCATTCCTTGGAATAACTTGTGGATCTGCTCCCACGCTTCATACGCATGGCTAACGCCTAAGATCTCGTTCAGCATTTCTTCAGAGATCGTCGATAGAAGCCAAGAAAGGAGCATCTAGTCTTTACGCAGACATTCAGTATACGAAGGATTAGTTACTCCATCAACACGATCTTGCCCTGACTTGTATTGGAGCAGAATTTTAAGGTTAACAAGGAAGTGTTGGAGTTGATGAGATGTGATTACAAGTTCTACAACCTGATTCCGAAGAAGAAAATTGCTTTCTCTCAGCTTCAAAGAGATCTGATGGTTGAACAGTGACGGAGATGATGAACGATTCTACGTTGCTGTGTTTCCGGTTGAAGACGAAGATGGAGAAGGTGATGCGGAAGACATGATGAACGTAGCTTGTATCAAGCCCTCAGAGAGAGCTCTGATACCATCAAAGAAACCAAAGGAAAATGAAGAAAGGAGAAAGAAAGTGCAGAGAGAAAAGAGGAGAGAGAAAGTTGAACAATTCTGATATTTTTAATTATGATTCAGGATGCTTACACATGAGCTCTTTATGGAGCTAAGCTAAAATGCCTCGTCACTAATTCTGCTCTAACAGAATTAGTTTCACTAACTAATTACACTTAGACAATTACAAATATATCCTCGACAGCTATTACAAATATACCCCTATACTTTACTCTAATAATAGCAAACAGAATACATCGCAGCGGAACTTTGCTCTTCTTTTTCTGAAAACCCTTTCTAAGCAACCAACAAAAATTCTTTCAACTGTGCCAAGCATACACAGACTACCTCTCAAAGCAAACAATTTAACAACAAACTCTTGAGTCTTAGGACAAGAAAAAAATGAATTGAAAGTGACAAGCCTCAGAACAGTAGGAAATATCAGGTCTTCTCTATTGTCTCAAATCATTAGCATTAATCATATTATATACCATAGACAAAACAAGAGTTCAGATCTTGGATGAAATATGAGAGTTTAAATAAAATAGAAACAGGACACTTATTATGCTAAGAATGCAAAATTAAATAATTCTGCGAGGAGTAGGAGGGACCCCAAAAATATATATAAGCATTTCAGAGCACCCCCCCCCCCCCTTCTCTCCCTCTTTCCCCCACCCAAAAAAATAAATAAAAAATCTCCAAGCTTAAAACATGATTGACAGCAAAGAGAAGACAAGCAATCAATACATGAGTTGCAATATGCCATATGCTCTTATGAAGGAAGACTAATTATGCTAGGATGCTTGGAATCAATCTCTCTCCAGAACAAAAACTAAATATTATAATACAGGTCCAAGACAAGTAAAAAAAAAAAAAAACAAAATATAGCTTTGTTCTTCCTTTGGTTTAACCTTAAAAAAAAATCATGTCAGATGCAACAAGTGACTCAACAAACTGTTGAAGATCGTAAAGCTAAAGCAAAGTCAAGGTCATCACATATCCATATATACTTAACAGAAACAAGCTATGTGAAATAATTGTAATCAATTCAACTTCAATTACTACTTTTTGGATCAAGATTTAGACCTAATTAGGAACACTAACCCAACACATTAAGAAAGGAACCATAGCTACAACCTCTACGGTGCATGAACCAACTTAACTTCAGAATCAGCTTGTCCAACAAGCCTCAAAAGCACACAAAGGAAAGTCATTCTTAATACTTATAGCCTAATTTTTTCAAGTCAAAGTTTGGAAGCGTAGAAGGAACAAGGCTATCATGCAAATCATCAAGAGTAACAAAAGTAGAGAAGTAGACAAGACATAGAGAACCTGTTTGAGAAACTCCTCATGCCAGTTGTCAAGGGTATCAAACGATTTCATGACATTAACATCATAGACTAGGACACAGCAATCTGCCCCTCTATAAAATGCAACTCCAAGACTTTGAAATCTCTCTTGCCCTGCAGTGTCCCATATCTACCAACCAGACATATAAGGCATTGAAATACACACAATTTACATAATACTCTTTAAAACAAAAACAAAAAAGAATACTGAAATACCATTGAAATAGAAAACCCACTTGTAGAGTGACGAGTCTGTCATCAATCTGGAGTTCTTTAGTGACAAAATCAGCACCAATTGTAGCTTTATATTGCTGACTAAACTTCTTATGCACATATCTATACAAGTAGTTATGGTCCACATACGCGAATTTCAAGCAAGGAAAGAAGCACAAAAATAACCTTAAATTGATTTTAAACAAATAATTATAACTTTAACAAAAGCAGAAAATTTTAAAGAAACGAAGTAGTATGTAGTATGTGCCATTAAATGTGTAGTCATACCACCTTAGCTATAAGGGTTATCGCAGCCAAGAAGTAAGAATTTATTTAAACATTAAGTGTAGACCTCAATGGCCAGAATTTACCAAGAATTCAAGTATTGTGGTTGGATAAGAGAAAATGATAGGGACCACTCCAACATCCAACAGTCATTAAGTACACCAACTCATTGAGTAACTTGAATTTTAATGATGCACAGTCAAATTTCTCTAACAATGCGACACACCAAAACTTTAAAGAAACCAAATCAAGCATCAAATTAACGCAACAAGCAAAATTGTTACAACAACAACAAAAAAAGTACATACAAATGTGAACCAATTTTGCTCACAACACTATACAAAAGAAAATTAATACAGTAAATTCATAACCAAAGATGAAAGATACTGATTCATCAAGGAGGTCTTTCCAACCCTAACAAAAACGAAATGAGTGATAAGAGAATTGAAAAGTCGTTGATGGAGAGAAGAGAAACCCTAGGAAGAAACGTACCCACTGTCGCCGAGAACGATGACCTTAAGCAAGGTTCGCCTGCGCAATGACATGCTTATTCTTGTTAATATTGTTATTAAGGATTGAGGGTTCGCCTTTTCGCTTATGCTTTCTTTGCCTGGGCGCTCTTGCCTTTTGTAATTGATTCGTCAAACGCAGCTTTGTTTAGAGAGAAAAAATACAAGGGGAAAGGGGCGCCAATTTCGATCGCTCTCAGCAATCCCACAATTATAGTGTAAATGTATAAAAAATATGGAGTATGCCTGACGTATTACAAGTTTGGTATTATTTATATTCAAAAAATAAAAATTTTGGTTTAGGCTTGTTAGTTTGTTTAAGCCTATTAAACATTCAATATTTAAAAGAATAATTAAAATAATATTATTTTATTATTTAAAATTATTAAATAATAATTTTATTTATTATACTTTAAATAAATAATATGATATAGGCCGGCTTGTAGGCTTATAGGCCCGACATATACAAAAAAATTTATGGCCTATTTTCTAAATTGGTTTTTTTAAAAGCCTAGACGTATTCTATTTTATTACATATAATAGGCTAAGTCTGGCTTAATATAGGTTAGATCGTAGGCCCCTGTAGGCCGGTCTATTCTATTTACACCCCTACCCACAGTACTGGTATATTCTCTTCTTTTTTGTAATTAACAATACTGGTATATTGTACTATTTGTTTAATATGTCATCTTAATTAATCAAAATTATTATATTATATAGTGAGAGAAATAAAAATTATGATTGCAGAAAATAAGAGATTTTTTAATTTAAATATTAAATAAAAATACTAGTTTTAAATAAAAATTATTTTTTAGAAAGATAAATATTTTCCTTTTATTTATTTCTTATTAAGTGAATTAATAAGATATGATAAGTTTAAAATATTGGCTAATTTTATCCTATTTATAACAGTATTTGTAGATAGGATAAAATGAGTCAATAGACATAATAAATTTATCGTACTTTGTTAGTTCGCAAATAATGGATAAATAGTATTCGGATATGATATAAGTAGATAAAAATATTTTTTAAAATATACTTTTTTTAATTTTTTGAAAAATAAATATTTTTATTTTATAAATTAGGTTGTATTATAAATTATGAAAAAATTTAATAGTAATAATTTTAAATAAAATACATAAAATAACTTCCAAAATTTCTAAAAACATATATATCTTTACCAACTAAAAAGGTTATGAAGACATGTATAAAAAAAAAGGTTATGAAGGCAATTTGAACGTAGGCATTATACTAGATAAAGTTAAAAGTTCTAACATCCTTCCACAAATTTTAAAAGTAACAAAAACTAAATCTGTCTATTTATACTTATGCCACATTTCATTAATGAATCTCAGTTGCCATAATAAACCCACATTTTATGTCAACTTAATGGTCATGTCCTACTAAACGCATATATGGCTTGATGTATACATTCAAACAGTTTGTAAGTGAAGGACAATTACCATATCTTGTCTTTAGCTCTCCAAGATTAGTTGGAAAGCACTTACTCAATGATCGGCAAAAAAATTTATTTATTATAATTTAATTAAATAATTACGCAAATATCACAGTTTGAGAAATATTTACGCATCTATTGCACACTGTGACGTTCCTTTTGGGCGTCACATGTAATGCCCCACTGGGGCGTCTCTCGTGGAGGGGAAGACGCCCAAATGGGGCGTCTCTCATGAGGTGGTGACACGTGTCACTTGTTTTTCCAAAAAGAAATTTAATTTAATCATAAAACTTCTAAAGGCCATAACTTTTGACTCGAGTATCCAAATCAGGTAATTCTTTTTTTGATTCCACGTAACTTTTCGAGATCTACGCAATGACATATCATTTGATATATTTTATTTCTCACCAACATAATTTAAATTTAAATCAGGTAATCCTTCTTCCTTAGATATTTAGAATATTTATTTAATTATTTCCTTTATTAATACAGATTTTTCAAATTGATTTTTGAGTTTAAATCACAAATCAAATCTTTATTTTGTTTTCCTTATTAATAATAATTGTTACTTTTAATTAAAATCACAAACCAAATTTTTTTATAATAAAAAAAAATTTAATTTAAATCACACATCAAATCTTGATTTATATTTTGTATTAAATCACAAACGTAAAACTTAGAGGCTTCTGAGTTTAAAAATATGACACGTGTCAAAACCTAACACATCACCAATCACGTCTAAATTGGGTTTCAATCAAGAGGAAATCACGCCTAATTTAGGTAATTTTATTTTTGAAAAACATTCATAAGCCATCATTAATTTCAAACCACGAATAATAACCCAGAAGCTTATAGCATTAATCATTAATTTTAAAAATAATATCCTTCTTCCTTAGAAATTTATAATATTTATTTAATTATTTTCTTTATTTCTACAGATTTTTCAAATTGATTTTTTAGTTTAAATCACAAATCAAATCTTTATTTTGTTTTCCTTATTAATAATAATTTTTTTTTATTTTGAATTTAAATCACAAACCAAAATTTTGTTATAATAAAGAAAATTATTATAAAAAAAATTTAAATCACAAATCAAAATTTTAAATTATTTTTTTATATTAAATCACAAATCCAGAACTCAGAGGCTTCTGGGTTTAACCGCTCTTATAATACCATTCTTGCAAATTAAAATTGTGCCTTTGAGAAATAAAATATGTCAAATGAGATGTGATTGCGTAGATTTCGAAAAGTTATGTGGAATCAAAAAAAGAATTATCTAATTTGGATACTTGAGTCAAAAGTTATGGCCTTTAGAAGTTTTATGATTAAATTAATTTTTTTTTTGGAAAAACAAGTGACACGTGTCACCACCTCACGAGAGACGCCCCATTTGGGCGTCTTCCCCTCATAAGAGACACCCCAGTGGGGCGTCACATGTAATGCCCAAAAGGGACGTCACAGTGTGCAATAGATGCGTAAATATTTTCCAAACTGTAATATTTGTGTAATTATTTAATTGAATTGCAATAAATAAATTTTTTTGCCCTCAATGATCTCTCAAAAGAAAAATATGATAGAAGGGCTAATTAGGCTGATAAATTTTAATAAGCTCTAGTGAAAATCTTGGAGATTGACAATCCAAGTATTTTGATGGCAGAACTGAAATCCATAAACTTTCTAAGGATTAAGGTATATTAGGAGTTAGGACAATACATACACACAAAATACTACTACCTTTTAGACTTGGGTTGTCACCCTATTTTCTAATAAATCCTATAGCATATAATCATTTTAATTTCCGATTCCTGAAAAAAGTAATTGTCTATTCAAGGCTTTCTTCTACATACTTTTTGTATATACATGTAATTTTATATGTACACGGATAAAAACAAATTCCTTTCCTCCATTTAGGCATCTAATAATTGTGACTCAAATGAAAATGATGTTTCATAGATTTTTAACTACCATTATTAGTTTACATCCAAAACAAATAAAACAAAACTAGATGAGTTGCTTCTTATTGCAAATCTGTGGGTTATATGAGTTCCTTCTAGTTCTAGACCTTTCTCCAAAATCTTATAGATTCATATTAAAGGGTCATATCCAATAAAGGAAATATTGTTAGCAATTCAAAACAACAAATACTGAGCTTACCCTCATCATACATGCATATCATCTATGTTGCACCACGGGACACGAGACATGAGATACGACACTCCGACACGTTAATTCTAAAAAATATTAAATTTCGACATGTTAGGACATGTTTTGATATTATATAATATTTTTAATTTATGTAATGTATATTATATTTAATATTCAATAATTTAACATAAAAATAAAGATAAACTTATAATACCCATCAATTTTGCAAATAAACATAAGATATCTCAAATGTTTATATTAAACTCAATGAAATGGTAATCGTAATCCAATGAATCTAATAGTTGGAATTCAAAATGCAACGCAACGTAACCTTTGAATATTTTTTGAGTCTTTGCAACGAGTATTGTAGTGTCGGGAAGTGTCAGAGTGTCGGTGAGTGTCGGACACGACATGTCAGGATTTTTGAAGTGTTAGTGCTTCATAGCATATCATTGAGGAATGTTGATTTGTCATTAGGGGTGAGCAAAAGAACAAAAAAATTGAACTCAACTGCACTTAAAATAATTGGTTTTTAAAAACCAGTTCATGAATCGAACTGGTTTTTCAAGAATCGAACCGAACCGAACCGTTTTATTATTTTATTTCTTTTATTTTTTTATTTTTTCTTTTATTTTCAGAATAGATTCGACCCGAACTGATTCTAAATCAAACTTTTTTCGAATCAAACCGAACCGTTTAAACCAATTTGGTTTAGTTCCTCAAAAAATTCAGTTTAATTTGACCCATGCTTACCCCTATTTGTCACAAACCTTTACAATCCAATCAACCTACTGGTAACCTGCAACATCTATTTTGCTAAACCTCTTTAGTGTATTAGGCTAATAATCCTCCATAAAAAAATTTCAAGATATTATATTCTAATTCAAAGAAATTCTTATGTTTTTTTATGGTAGGGTAAAACCTCAGTTAATCCTAACCTATATTACCAAAATCTCATAGGATTTAGTTAATTTTTAAGTTTAAGATTTAAATTTCTTCTCTATGAATGAATAATCAAAAATCAAAAGAAGCAAAATATGAAAAAACTGAAGTGGTATAGGAATGAGTTGTAGATACAAGGTATGTTTTGATGATAACAAAATGAAAACAACAAAAAGAGAAGAGCATTGATCAAGAGCAAAAAAGCATCAGCTATGTGTAATAATTGAAGATGCATGTTGGAGCAACAAGGAAGAATAAGAGGAGAAAAACCAATATCAAAGCAACAACCAAGGACAACATCTAAGAGAAGCTCAATATACAAGCATGATGAAAGAGGATCAAAACCAACAAGTAAAAACATCAAGCTCAAGTGAAGAATCAATATCCAAGATCGAATGCAACAAGCTAAGTCCAATTCCTTATTAGAATACATTTTTAGAACTTAGATATGATTGTAAAAGTAAATTGTAAATTGCATTGCATGAGCTCAAAGTTTTTCTCAAAGTAAATGTGTTTTTCAAATTGCATAATCCATGACCTTTAAATACTTGAAAGAAATTTGAAAAACCTATGGAAAATATCCTTGACATATTTTATAACTTCAAAACATATTTATCAAGTCAAGATCGTTCATAAAA